CTTTAAATAATCCCCCCCCCCCCCCCCCCCCCCCTGTGCTCTGTTGTCACCTAATGTGGCTTTGCGCTCAATATTTTATTTTAGGCTATTGGCCAAATCTCGACCAAAGTCGGCTGGCCGTTGCGATCTCACCTTGACTACGTGGTTACCACGCTCGTCAACATGCTGGGAGAAGCCAAGATTGTGGTGCGCCAGAGTGTCACCAAGGTTCTTGTCCAGCTCATGCAGACGCTGACGCCCGAGCCGGTGATGAAGCTTCTCCTCGGCAGCCTTCGACATCGCAATTGGCGCGTACGGGAAGAGGTCACCAACTCGATCATTCTTGCCATCAGCACTTTTACCTCTGCCCAACTAGACTTGCAGCCTGTCGTCAAAGCCATGGGGCCCTTGCTCACCGATGCCAAGTCGCGCGTTCAATACGTGGTGATTGAAGCCCTGGCCGTCATTCGGCAATCCATCGGCGCAATGCAGCTGGACGGATGGATCGATACATTGGGCCTACCTGCCAAGACCCTGGCCGCGCTTCGCAAGCGCTTTGATGATCCGAGTGCCCTGCCCGTCGTCAACAATGGTGTTGTACGTGCCATGCACGCCCTGCTCTGGCACTTCTGTTTTTTGTGTTTGTTTGTTTGTTTGTTTCTTTTTGTTTTTTCGTTTCTTTTTGAACATCACGCTTTTTCTCTTTGATTTTGTGCTTGTTTGTTTGGTGGGTGGTGTCATTTTCAGCTGTTGGATTTTCCCGTGTTCCGCCGTGACTTTTCAAGTTTCATGCACTCATTTCTTTTGTGCCCTCTTGATGAACAACGGCAGGTGGAACACGCCCATCGGATGGAAACACCGTCAAGCACTGCCATGAGCATGAGCATCGGTCGATCCTCGATGTCACTGCCCTGGGACTCGCGATCCACCACACCCGTGGCAAACTCAGCGCTGGGAATGGGTAGCACACAGCCCGCCCTCTCGTCTGCCTCCAGCACGGCGTCCCTGCCCCGTGCTTTGCGCAAGAATGAGCAGAGCGTCACGGCCGGCTCATATGCCGATATGTACAAAGCAAAATTAGAGGCGCGCAGCTCCAAACGGCACAGGTACTCAACCGGCTCAACCTTGTGGCTGGGCTTTCCGTGCATTCGCTCTCAAACCTAGGTACTTGCCCACCCATTTCGTCTTAGTTTCAAGGAGAAGTCGGTATCGAGCGCTCAACTGGCGCCCTCACGCGCAAATAGCACGGCGTCTTCGTACTTGGATCTCTGGGCGTCCAAGCGTCAACAAGGAGAAGACAACAAGGATAGTCAGAGCCGCACGTTGAAACGTGTGAGTCCAGACCCTGCTTTTCACAACGGAATGGGAGGACCCGGTGCGCTTTATCCGACGAATTCGTCACCAGTGCTTCCTGCCACCACGGATGATAAGGGTGGCGCTCGTCCCGGGCACGGCTATGCTCATCGTGACCCCGTGGAAAGCTCTTCCTACGTACCATCGACGAACGCTCCAACTCGTCGACCGCGCTCAGATGGAGGTAGGTCATATTAATCGTCGCTGACATCTTCATTGCAACCAAACAAAGACCCGCACTCTCGTGTCCGCTCACGCTGTCTATCGCCTGCGCCGCCGAAAGTAGCCGCCAAAGCGCTGGAACCACCTTCTGCGTTCGCCCCAATGGCGCTGCCCGGGTCAGAGGATGCACGCCCAAGCCGCTCGGCTGATAGCGCCCGTGCCGAGCCCGTACCCCTGGGCTCTGCTCCACAAGGAAGCTACTCGCACATGGCCATGCTAAAGCGCCAACAAGAGCAAGCGGCAACCTCTGGCTCGAAGAGCTCAACCCGCGCTGCTGGATCGAGGGGCCCAACCAACAGCACCACAACCGCTACGACCAGCTCTGACCAGCCTGGCGGTGCGTCTAAAGTCGGATCTGCCGATCACAAGGCGGGCACGAGCATCAGCGATGAAAATACCACCTCCAACGCCATTCCCATGGTCAAAGTGTCTGCAACCCTGGCCCGGGACGTGTCCATGTCAAACATGCCACGGGCCAAGCCCAAATCGCTTTTTCCTGACGATCTGCCCCCCTCATCAATCAAACAACCGAGCCCGGCGAACGCAACGGAGCCCATGTTGGCTGCCAAGACCTCTACTCCTGTCAGCCCCCGTTTGGCTCACCCACCAGCCGCCCCCGACCGCGCAAGCGACGTTCCCACCAGCAAAGCACCGTCATCACAAACTTTTAATAATGAGGAGGACGTGGCCCTTCCCGATGCCCCCAGCAAGAACTCCAGCTCAACGACGGGCTTGCGTTCACCACGCGTACCCCGGACACGCAAAACGCCCACCGGTGATGCCTTGACCTCCCAGCAGCCGTCTGCACCCGAACCGGTTACCGTCATTGCTGAACCGCCCCATCAGCCACATCCTCCAGCTACCCAACGGCCAGCACGGCCCCACTCACACATACCAATGCCAGGAGGCTCTCCAGTCGTTTTGAGCAGCCACTTGCCACATGCTGCGGCCTCGTCCAAGAGCCAATCGGAAGTGCCGGCTCAGCAGGGTTCAGGCTTATCCTCAAGCCCAGACCCCGAACCCGTTGTGACCACATCAACTCGAGGCAAGGTCATCAGGAAAAAGAACAACGACCATGCATTGGATCAAGAAGGTGGCCCTTCCCATGAAGGCGAGCATACTTCTGGATCTTCGCAGATGAAAGCACGCTCCCGTTCCTCCCATCTAGAGGTTGCCGGCGCTGAGAAAAAGCCAGCTAAATCCAAAGGTGGCTCCTCAGCCACACTCTCGGTGCCCGGTGTCTTCTCGGCCCCTGCATCCAACCAGGCGTCGGGCCCGCCGTCACCTTTGCCCAGCCCGTCCGTTGGTCCCTCGCCCGATCTTTCCGATGGTGCGGATCTAGGCAGGGAAGACTCATCTGGTGCTAGCAGCAGTGGTAGACGCTCGGCGCATCCGCCAGGGTTGCCCCCCAGTGCGCGCAGTGTGAGCAGTCGGTCGAGTGCTGCGTCCACGGCAAGCCGAAGCCGGAAACCACGAACACGCTCCAAGACAACCCACACGCCATTGCCATCTTTGGGTACCATGACCGGGTTTGAGACAACGCTCACGCCGCTGAGCGCTGTCGAACGAACACCTCAAAAGAAAGGCTCCGGTCGAGCTGGGGATGACCAGCTCATCCCGCTGGATGATCTACCCGATTTGGATGCATCACCCGAAGAAACCTTCAAGCGGGCGCTCATGTCGCTTGAGCGTGGCAAGCAGCAAGAGACTTGGAACGAGGCCTGCCTGGGCCTCAACCTGCTGCGCCGCTTGATCGTGCGAGCTCCCGAAGTGCTGTCATCGCAGATGCGCGAGACGGTCGATGCTACCCTCACGCAAATAGGCAATCTGCGTTCGTCCGTGTCCCGCTTGGCCATTCTCATGATGGGTGATCTTTTTGCGGAGCTCACCCGACCCATGGAAAAGTACATTGACAAGGTGATTGCAACGCTGCAAAAGAAGGTCGGCGCCGAAGCCTCGAGCTTCATCCGTGAGGATGTCACGCGCGTGCTCGGGGTGATCTTATACACGGCCAACCCCATCAAATCGCTGGGGGCGCTGCTTTCATCGGCAGAAAGCAAGAACAAAGACGTTCGCACCATTGCGGTGCAATTTATGTGCGAGGCCGTTGGTCGCATTGGCGATCGAGTGCTGGACATTCGCGACGCCGATCGTCTTCTAAAAATGATGGCCCAATTTGTCCAGGACTCAGCCCCGGAAGTGCGCCAACATGCCAGGCGCGTCCTCTTCCTCCTAGTACAGCTGGATAACTTTGACGCCATAGTGGCCAAAACGCTGACAGGCACAGCGCTGCGCGACATGCAGGCGGCTGCCGAATCCCTGCGTAAGCGGGGCTTGGATCAGACGGTGCGATCTGGGGCTGCGGTTGGGGCATCCACGACGCGTGGGCGATCTTCGGCGACGCGTGGAGCAAAGACCAAGTCTTCTGCTGCTGTTGGAGGCGGAAGCGCGGCCGTGAAGGAGATTCAAGAGGCATTCAAGCAGAAGGATTTTCGCGTGCGTGATGAAGCCATCGACCAGTTGGTTGCCTTGGCCGAGAGCAAGCCAGCACTATTCCTTGGTGATGCCGTAAACGCCTTCTTTGACTTTGCCCCTCTGCTCACGGACGTCAACAGCAAGGTGAATTTGCACTCAATCGAGGCCTTGGGCCGCCTGGTCCCCGCGCTGGGCTCGGCGCTTGAGCCAGTCCTGCCCGAGTTGATGCCTGCGCTGGCGCACAACTTTGCAAGCAAAAACGGATCCATTCAGTCTGCCGCGAACGAAGCCATGGCGACTTGTTGCTCATGCATCGAACCCGCCAGCTTGATTCCAGCACTCGGCACGACGATGAAAAAGGGCAACCCTGTTGTGCAAGAGGCGCTGTTGCCGTTTGTGGCGCTCGCAGCCGAGGCTAGCGCAGCCGACGCCAAGGCATGTCGCCAATTAAGCAAGCATTTAGTTCGGACATTGGTGCGTGCCTCTGAGGATCAACGTCTCGCCGCACAACTTGGTTTGGTGTGGCAGGCCTTGTATTCAGCACTGGGCCAGGACCTGATATCGCATGCGGCCATGACTGACAAGGTGCGCGCGATGATCAACTGAGCAGAGACCCAAAACGACGGCACCTCGTGTGATTGACATGTGAACCCCTTTCCACCGTGTGCAAACAAACATAATATGGACAAGCCGCTTTGAGTTGCGCTTGTGAAGTTTGTGGTTTTTCGTTTCACTGTTGCGTTTTGTGCCTGGGTGCTGCTTGCTTTTAATCGACCACAATTGTGTTTTTTCCTGAGTTTTGACGGTACCGTCGTCCCCTTGGACTGTGCGGTGCATCTGGTGCTGAGCAACAACTTACATGTCGATGTTACTTTTGGTTCTGGTCTGTTCTTGCGTGACACATCGTGCGACTCGCCGTCCATGCACTGTTTGGAATTCTCGATTCAAAAAGAAAATTGGGAAAATTGACGCTGAAATTTGCACAAAAAATTCAGTTTTTATTTCATAGATGTGTGCTTCTCACTGTTGTGATCATTAAAGAACAAATTTTGTTCTGGGCTGACATGGCAGCAGGGGGAGTATACGGGCTCGAGCGTATGCCTGTTACTGGGACGTTCATTGTCCATTGATGTTCAATATTATTATGTGAAAGAAAACGAGCACCACATGTAAATCGTATCAAAACTGGAATATCGAGTAAAACAGTAACACGGTTCTAGCTAAAATGTGCTGCAATTCTGCTGTTTTGATCTTTAGATCTCGAAGTCAAAACTCAAAATTGTGAGGCTAAGCGGGGTGAGGCAAACGGCACGGGGGTGGGGGGAAAGGCGTCCAACTTGAGGTGTTTAGAGTGCCCGAACCAACCATCACCGCCGTCGGCACACAAACACAAGGATGAAATCATGTCAAAACCAAATTGAAATCAATCGATTAATGATAAAAGGCAACTTAAAGGCATAACAGCAAAGGCATGTGCATAACATATCGTGTGTGTGTGTGTGTGTGTGTGTGTGTGTGTGTGTGTGTGTGTGTGTGGGCGGGGGCGGGCAACAAGGTCAGCAAAATGGTATCGGGATTAGCGGCGGGATGCCAACTTGGCGCGCTTGGCTTGCTTGGTATCCAGGTCTTCTGAATCAAGGTCGGGGGGAGCTGCAGGCCCTGTTTGCACTTCAGCTGCAGGAGCTGCTGTGGCTGCGGCTGCAAGGGGGGGTGCAGCAACGGTATGGGCAGCGGCATGATGATTTTCCATTTTCACGGGTTGGGGTGCCAGGTGCGCGTTCGTTGAAGCATAGTAGCTCGATGGCGTCATTGTGCCTTGTCCGTGTATCTGTGGGTGGGATGCTGCTCCTAGTTGATGATTGGCAGGGGTCACTTGCCCATGCTGGTGGTATGGGTGATGCGATCCGAGGGGCGGGTGGGACTGGTGCTCTAGCGATCCACTCGAAGATGCCGTCGGCGACATGATGGGGATGGCTCGATAGGTGGTGGAGGCTGTCGATTCAGTGACTTGATTTGGGGCGGCCGGTGGTAGCTCAACAATCCCTGGGGAAGTACCTTCATGCAGCAAGGCCATGTGGGCGGCGGACTCATGGACGTGTTGCGCACCCGACACGGCAGGGGTGTGTAAAAGGGTGGGCACGGGTAGCGAGGACTGCGGTGCTTGGTGTGAGTGTTGAGCATAATAGGGATGCAGCAGGGTCATGTTAGGAGGCGCACTGTTATGCCCAAGAACCTGTGGTAACTGTCGTAGCACGTGGTGGGGGGATTGGGGCCTCGGTTGGTGATGCGTTGGATGAGGTGACTGTTGCTGTTGCTGGTGTTGCTGGTGGTGTTGTTGATGAGATTGTTGATGAGGTTGGTGATGGTGGTGATGGTGATGGTGGTGGTGATGATGATGGTGCGGATGATGCGGCACTGACGTGATGGGATGCGTTGGTGGGTGGTACAGTTGTGTGCTGCTGGGCAATGAGAGCAAGGCGCCACCACTGCTGGCACTGGGGTTGTCCCGGCTCTTGCGAGAGGGACGGCCCACCTTCTTGCGCTCGGGCAGTCGATCGCAAATCTTCTCAAGAAGGGGGAAGGAGGCCAGCTTGGTTCGAACGTGCTTGCGTTTGTCCCAGCTCAGGCTGTAAAAGTGGCTGTAGTTTGATTTGGCATCCCAGGACACGTACTGATTCATGAGGGAGGCGACCTGTGCCAAGGATGCAGCACGTGCTCGATCACTGCCATAATCGATGACGCGTAGCCCACATTGCGCTGCCTGGCACTCGTGCGACTTGCCACGGTGCCAAGGCGTCCAGACTGGGCAGGTGCACTTGACACATTGATGATCCTTGGCCAGCATCAGCAGCTGGTGGTAGGCATTGGCTTGCAGTTCTCCCCCACCGTTTACGGGCATGCTGACAGGCATGCCAAAGGGCATCCCCACAGGTACAGATGCACCCATGTGCAAGCCCATGGGTACACTCATGTTCATGAGAGCTGGGTTTGCATTCACGCCCACACCAGCTTGCAGCAAGTTTGATCCCATCGAGTGTACCCCGCCATTCTGGCCATAGGGTACCGCAGCAACTGAGGTGGCCACGGAAGGCGTTGGCACAGAATCAGAGTCCAAATGACCTCCATGGCTATCATCCGTCTTTTTCAAGGTAGCCTCGGGGCCCGCCGAGGCCACGGCCTCCGCGCCGTTGACGGTTCCGCCGCCGTGATCGCCTGCATCCTCAAACGACGACATGCGAGCGAATTTTTTTTTTTTTTTTTTTTTGAGAACGATTTTGAAAGCATGAAAAGTCTGACATAAAATCCCTGGGTAAACACATGTCGTGAACAGGTATTAAACTTGGCCAGTTTTTCATGGTTCGACTGATACACAAACGATTCCATGTCCAACATGTTAATATCCAGAAAACAGCTGTGAGAAATACCTGTTGACAACACGTTTTGGACGAGCCACAGTGCGATGAATGTAAAATACTTTTATGCACGCTAGATTGCGACATCGCGGCCACGAGTCTCTCTCTCTCTCTCTCTCTCTCTCTCTCTCTCTCACGGTCAGGTCGGTCAGTCGTTCCCGATGGACTTGCGCCGGGCGGGCCCGGCGGTCTTGGTATGAAGGATGGGATGTGTGTGTGTGTGTGTGTGTGTGGGAAGGGCGTGATGCTTGTTTGGGGGGGGGGCGAGATGTCTGGACCGAATCGAGTTCCAGTGTCGGTGTGGTGCTGTGTTGGTGCAAGAACAAAGCTGATGACGCGAGCCTCTCCGTGTGTCATGTAGGAAAGCTGGCAACGTCGTGCAGCTGAAACATTATCGCTTCGATCGGAGGATGAGGCAGGCAAGGCACAAAGGAGGCCCCTCGATGGGGGTGTGGAGCGTGTTGCTTTGCACGCTGGTGATCTTCCAACAGGACAGTGTGAATGGCGACCATGCCCTGGGAGCCAATGACAAGTCGTGTGCACCGAGTGTCTTAGCCAATTCCGATCGCAACGACAGCCAGCCGTGTACCGGCCAGCTGGGGGCAGAGTGTGCCTACACGTGCCTGCCAGGTTACGTGCCCTTTGGCCGACATGTATGCCAGTCCTACAGCACCAACGAGCACGTTGTTTACGACCATCAGTTTGCAGGCGGACATTGCCTGCGCCTTTGCTCGAGTAGCCCCGCCTGCACGTCGCCTGCGCTGCCCTTGCGTGTCAACTCCACCGACAAAGATGGGCCTTGCTTGCACACGCAATGCTATGCTAATCAAAGTGTTTTGCTACAAAGCCTCTCACGTGGTAGCTACGAGCTGTGGATGCGGGCCCGAAACAACGAGACGGGCATCTACTTGGATCATGTCGACCTGACTCGATCTCCTGCTGACCAGGATTGGCAGCAGGGTGCAATTGGCGTCACGGGCCTGGGTATGGCCGCGGAATGCGTAGCCCATGCGCTAGGCTACATTTCCGATGACCAATTTCTGGCGCGCGTTTCCTTGACTCTCCGCTCCATTCTGAGCCTGACAACAGGGTTCAAGCTGGACCGCAATGCCCACGGTTGGATTCCAACATTCGTCGACACCCGGACCGGAGCTGCCATGAACCCGGATGATACGAATCGCTATTCCTCCCTAGCTACGGGCCTTGATACCGCTGGCGCTCTCTTTGCCCGGACTTATGTGCTCTCCAATCCGCAACTCTGCTCGTCTGCTCAAGGCGCCGTCCTTATTGAGCTGGCCACGCAAGCCTTTGAAGCCGTCGACTGGACCACCTTGCTCTGCAACGGCACGCACATTGATTCAAACAGCTCCGGGTTGCCCATGCTTTTCGACTCCACGGATGGGTGCTCAGCAGTCGAGTTCCCCGAAAGCGATGGCTATTATCAGTTCTTTGAGCTCCACTACACCGTTGCGTTGGCCTATCATGCGGCTTGTACTGTGAGTCAAACTCTGGCGTGCCCAGCTTTTGACACCATGTTTCGACGCTGGCAAGGTCGCGCACAACACCCAAATCAGGCCTTCGAAGGCTTGCCGCTCTTGAGCGAATGGTCTGCTTACGTTGTTCAGCTTCCCTACTACATGGTCCATGCCTTCAACGGCAACGCTGATTTTCTGCGTCTCTTTCGCTCACACTGGGCTGCAGACAAAGCTTACTATGCCAGCCCAGCCATTAATGCTGGCCAACAGGGCATTTACGGTTTGGGCGCTGGGCCCACCATTGACTGGTGTGCCGGTACCACTTATGAAGCTGATCGCATCAATACCAACGCATCCCTGGCTCATTGTCGAACGTTTTCACCGTACTCGATCGCTGGCTACCTGCCACTCGCCAATTCGACCGTCCGCGCTGACCTGCAGGCCCTGGCTGCGGCTGGTATCACGACCTTGCGTGTGGACCAAGATCACTTTTTGTGGCGAAAAGCGTTGCTCGATCTCGATTGGTCGCAGGGTTATGGTGTGACCATGGTCGACTTCTCCGCCGAGTTTTTTGGTTTGGCGAGTTTGACTCTTCCACCAACCTTTTTCCAAACCATGACCAATCATAGTTACGCCAGCTTGGCTATGCGGCGCCGCTAACGTGCTCCACCCCCAGACCAAAGCCAGCAAAGTAAAACACGCATGAGCGAAAGCACCCATCCAGACAGTGCCTGTCATGTCTCGCTGTGTTTAGTTCTTGAGCGCCAACCCATCATTAGGCCCTTAAAAGCGTGTGAGATGACACACCAAAGCACAGACGGAGCCGCTGCACAGCTCTACTCTCTGCCTGCCTGCCTGTCTCTCTCTATGTGTCTTCTCATCCTTTGTGTCTTCTCACCCTTTATGCGCCCATCAGTCAAGCAATCGACCGGTTAGACAAGATCTTCAATTCTTGCAATCTTACCAACCCACTCGCAAATGTCAAATACCACCACACTCTTGACCGCATTAACCCTGAGCAGATCAGGTCAGAAATAAGAAAACAAAACACACAAAGCCGAGGCAAAGCCCACGGACATGACTCTGCACCACAAAATGTAGCATAGACTTTGCCAAATCCACAATGCACACACACCAACAACTGACAGTCATGCACATTGGCATCAAAGCTGAACGCGCACACAGGTAGCGTTATAGGCCTCAATGCTCACACTGCGAGTTCCCACGTAGACTTCTGCAAAGCGGCTGCCACCACCCAGAATGGTCTCATCACCACAAAAGGTGACAAAAGTGCCCGTGCGTCCCTGTGGGGGGAACGCGTCGAGATACAGAGCCTCCTCGAGATATTGGAAGCCCATGCCAGTGCCGACTGTGCCCAGAACAAAAGCACCTGTGCTCGTCTCAATTTTAATGTCACCGTAACCATCGACGCTGTGGCTGTTGGCAATGACGTGGATGCTCGTGTCGTTGGCAGCAACCAAGGTGGCCTCAATGCCCGCCAAGAGCACGGCCGTGATGGCCCCGGCATGGGCCTGCAAGTGCCTTCCTTCGATCACCACCTGGGTACCTTGAACACCGCTGCCAGGAATCACAGCCTCAATCTCGCCTGGCGCACCATAGTCAACAATGCCATGGGCTGTAATGGTGGCGCCCGAGTTGGCCTCGATCTTGACGTTCAAGGCCGAACCTGCCGTCGGGCGCGCTCCGGCACGTACCACGACGAGCGTGTTGTTCTCTGATTCGATCGCAGCTAACACACCACCGATCCAAACTCGAGTCACGGCCTCGGCTGATAAACGAAGGCGCTCGCCTCGGATGCTCACTCGTGTGCCCTCATGAATCACAGCTGGGGTCACCGACGAAACGTTGCCAGTTCGATTGAAAAAGAAGCCATCAACTGCCGTAACGGTGGCACCCGTGTCAGCCGTGATCACGACATCGCCCTGACTGGAGGTGCGGTTGTCTGCTACCACGATCACCATGCTATTATTGGCGCTCAGAATCTCTTGTACTTCCAATCCCACCAGCGTGACAGAACGGACGGCAGAGCCACCCAAAAGGCCACGACCTCGGATGGTGACGACCGTGCCAAACTGACCAAATTCTCGATCAATGTGCTCAATGGCGCCATCCTCCAACTGTGTCCAGCCGGTATACTCTGAGCGGGCCCCCGTGTTGCTAATCAGCGTAATCGGGAGGCTGCTGCCCGCCGTAGCCGTTTGAATGCGCACCACCACTTGGGTTGAGGACTGAGCCTCAATTGGCATTGAGACGTTGTTGAAGAGAGCCGCGACCAACGAGGACCCCTGCCCAAAAAGTCGCTGGCCGGTGACCGTGACGCGCGTGTCCAGCTGACCTGTCAATGGGACCACGTCCGTAATGATGGATGATGGCGCATAGGTCCATGCCTGGCTCAAGGCCGTCATCGAGCCTGAGTCCACTTCAATCACCACATCAGCCGCGGCACCGGTTGCTACGCCGGCCGCTGCTCGTACGACGACCCGCATGTCCGACTGTGAGACGATGCTCTCGACGTTCACGCCAGCCAGGCGTACGTTGGTCACTTGGGTGCCGTCAAGATAGAGGCTGCGACCGTCCAGTGTCACCAGGGTGCCCAGCTGCCCAGAGGTCGGGTTTACGGCCGTAATCTCACCGTACACCCAGCTAAAGTTGCTGGAGACTGTAGCCCCGGACCGCGCAGCAAGAACAAGCGGGCCTGCACGGGAGCAGGAGCTACCGCATCGGGCCGTGGTCGCAACGACTACCGTGTCATTCTGGAAAGTAACGTCTGCAGTTGCGCCGGCCACCGTTAGCGTCAATGGGTTGGAGCTGCCCTGCAACAGATGCTGACCATAAATGGTGATGACCGTGCTGGCTGCGCCAGCAGCGGGAAACACACTCGAAATGACGGCGGGAGGTAGGTAGGTCCAGCTCTGACCACTCGCAACCGTTGCACCTGTGTCCGCCACCAAGACGATGACACCATTCCTGGCCGTCGCCGCCTGGGCCTTGAGCGTGACTGAAAAGTCGTTGCTTCCATCGATGATAGTCGCGGGCACTCCGGCAATGGTGGCTGAAACAATTGCGTTGCCACCCGCACGAAGACCAGACCCGATGACGTTCACCTCGGTACCGGTTGTACCCGCGGCGGGTTGCAACAAGGAGATGACGGGGGGTGTAACAAAGGCGAAGCGCGCGCCCTCAAAGTGGGCACCCGAGGTGGCCTCAAGGCGCACGGTAGCGTTTCGAGCGCTTGCCGCCGCACCGGCTCGCACAACCAAGAGCGTGTCGTTGGCCATGATGATCTCTGTGCTGGGCACGCCCGCCAGGCGCACTGTTGACAGATTGCTGTACAAGTCCAAGTGTTGCCCCGCCAGTGTAACTCGTGTTCCCGCACTACCGGACGCAGGCGTGACGCTCTCAATGGTCGGAGCGGGGCCGATGGTAAAGTTGGCGCCTGTCTGGGAGGCGCCACTGGCTAGCTCGAGGCGCACACTGCCAACAGCCGGGCCGGCGGCGGGCAATCGTACCACGACTGCACTGTCCGCTGCCTGCACAATATCGACCGCAACGCTGGCCAGCGCTGCACTGGCAATGGCTTCCGAACCCTGCAGCAAATGCTGGCCCCGGATGGTCACGAGAGCGCCTTCCATACCCACATCAGGAATGACGGCATCGATTCGCATGCGCTCAGCGTATGTCAGATTGACCAAGGCATACGTGGCGTTGCTGGACGCGGTCACATGAACAGGCAAGGTGCTGCCCGCGGCGTGATCTGGTGCCACGAAAACGATGCTGGCGTCGCTGTAAGCCTCAACGGACAAGGCGGGCGCGCCGCCTACTTCAACTTGAGGCATTCCAGTGGAGCCGGCCAAGAGGCCCGTACCCGTCAGCGTGACTACAGTTGTTGCCTGAACCACAGGGGGGTCAACAGCTGTCACGATGGGCGGGACCACGTAGGTGAAGGCTGCCACTCCGCTTTCGATTTCTCCCCCCTGTGTGCCTTGCACGCGCACAGAGCCCGACAGCGCACTAGGCGTCCCGAGAACGCGAACCACAATCTCATCGTCGCTGGCGGTCAAGACCTCGCTGGCCACGCCAGCCAGTAAGACGGCCTCAACGGCCGCCCCCGTCAATAGGCGCTGGCCGTAGATTCGGACCGTGGTGCCATATGTGCCGCTGTTCGGGTGCACCAAGTCGATGATGCCGGTGGGCAAAACCGTCAAAAGGGCTGGCACAGCGAGCAGCGCCCCAGTCGATGACAAAAGCGCAATATCAGCCGCGACTGTTACATTTGCGGACAGCTCTGGGCAGGCAAATACCACGACGGTATTGTTCGCCGCAGCAATCAGAGCTGGGGATCCCGCTACCTCAAGCTGCAACAAATGTGCATCGAGGGCAACACTTCCCAGCAAGTTGTCACCAGTAAGAGTAACGCGAGTGTGTGACTGGCAACTGCTCGGCGTGATTGTTGTGATCGTGCCACGCGTGTCTTGTGTCCATACACCCACCGCCTTGCTGATGGCGCCCGAATCTGCAACCACCACCACTGAAAGGTTGGCAGCAGGCTCTTGATCCGCGGCGCGCACCACGACATGCGTATCATTGGATGCTGGGCGGATGGCCGTTGCCGAGACGTTGCCCAGCTGCACATCGGCGATAGAGGCTCCCCCAGCTAGGAGACCAGAGCCAGTAATTGTGACCCAGGTGCCGCGTCGCCCGTACGAGGGTGAGACAGCAGTGATTATAGCCACCGAGGCGTACTCAAAGCCATCGGCGCGAACAAAGGCGCCAGAGGCGCCGCGCAGCACAACGTCACCTCGACCTGCCGCCCCCAGGCCAGCACGCACAACAAGTTCCGTCGAGCTTGCACGCACAATGACAGCGCTTACGTTGGCCAAGGTGACATCAATCACCGACGTGTTGAGTAGCAAGTTGTGCCCTGCGATGGTGACGTAGCTGCCCTCTTGACCACGATCGGGCGAGATGGCCGTCACCTGCGCAGGCTCGAGAATGTCCAGCTCTGCTGATGTGGCCGAGTAAGCATACGTGCCACCCTCGGCGGTTGATAATACTAAACTGGCTGCGCCGGCGGGGCTTGGTCCTAGGCGGAATACCACTTGCGTTGCGTTCTGGCCAAGGATGTTCGAAGCGCTGACGTTATTCACGCTCAAGGTATTCAACGCCCCAACACCGAGGCCTAGGTCGCGACCCGAGATCGTCACGTAAGTACCTTCTTGCGCCACGGCAGGGAAGATCCGTTCAACGGTGGGAGTGGGAGCCAAGACTAGGCCTGCCGCCAGCTCAACACGGCCACCGTGTTCATTTAGAAGTACCAGGGTTTGTGGCCCAGCAGACACACCACTCAGCGGCAATCGAATAACCACCGTCGATGCGTTGCTGCCGGGCAGCACCTCTGCCTCAGCAGACCCCACATACGCATGGGCTACACTGGTCCCATGCGCTGTTAAATTTGTACCCGTGAGTACGACACGGCTGCCCAAGTAGGTTGTTGAGGGCGACACTTGCAGAATGGCTCCGCGAGGGTGATACGTGAAGCCATTAGACAGCGCTGTGCGCGCTCCCGAGTCAGCAGTGAGAACCACGTCACCCTGGGCGGCCTCCACCGCATGCCCGGCTTGTACAATAACGTGAGTATCGTTCTGGAGTGCAACGCTTTCCACGGATACGCCTGCCAGGCTCACCTGGGTTAGGTTGAGGCCATAACCCAGCAGATGAGTGCCTGTGATGGTAACCGTGGTGCCTTGCTGACCCTCACTCGGGTTGACGGCATCGATCACCGGGGCTGTTAAGTATTCAACAATCTGTGAAGAGTTGTACTTGGCACCCGAGCTCGCTGCAATCTCAATCACACCCGAGCTCGGGGCGGCTGCAGCCAGCGCAAGCACAATCTTCGTGTTGCTTGCACTCAAGATTTGCTCCGCAAGAACGCCCGCGGCGCGCACCAATGCCAAAGACGAGGCTCCACCCAATAGATGAGAGCCCGTGAGAGTCACGCGTGTGCCTTGTACGCCGTAGCGAGGTGTCACTGATGCCACGATGGGTACTGGCACGTAGCTGAAGGCAAGCGGAATCATCACAGCAGCCCCACTTTCCGTCGTCAGCACAACATCACCCACGCCCGGAACGCCAACGGCAGCACGTAGGACGACAACTGTCCTGCTTGCGTTGACAATCTCGGCCTCGACATCATTCAATGAAGCGTGCACCAACCCAGAGCTGTGCGCAAACAGGAAGCGACCACGGAGGGTGACAAGCGTGCCATACATGCCACTGCTTGGTACGATGCTGTCAATTTGCCCCGCAATTGTGTATGTATAGGTCTGTACCGACTCCACAAAGGCTCCTGTGTTGGCGCGCAGAGTGACGCTACCCGTCGTTCCATGCTGACCCGAGTTGGCTGACACAACGACTTGGGTGTCATTGGCTGACAGCACATCTGCGCCGACTCCGGCCACAGTCACCGACGACAAACTCGTTCCTCCACCTAATCGGATCAAGTCATGGTGACAGCGCGTGAGTGAGTCTGATGGCGATCTATACAACGTTGTCCCCCACCCAACTACATGGCCTCCTCACACGACCACATCCTTTCAGCTCATTATCTCAGTATATTCCTACATGGGGTATCGCCCTTGCTCAACATCGATACTTATTTGGGACTGCACACTCCAGCCGAGCCACAAACGTTAACAGCACAGCACAGCAAGACTTGGTAGACCACATGAATTCAATACAAATGACCACATACCTAGAAGTGCTGTGCCAGAGATGGTTACTCGCGTGCCGGCTTGGCCAGAAGTAGGCGCGACATTGGTTATGTCAGCAGGCGGTAAAAAGTTGAAGGCATTCACGACACGGACCCTGGCGCCCGTGTCACCCAAGATAGTAATGTTGGCAGCGCCTTCCACCATGGTCAGAGGCGTTGCGACCTCAATAAACAAGTCAAAAGCAGGGGGTACGATTGTAGCTTCGGTATTCTCGAAGAATACTCGTACACTCGTGGCACCACCCAACAGACGACGGCCATAGATGCGCACAAGAGTGCCTCGTGTACCCTGTGCGGGCAGCACTGTTTCCACTTCCGATGCCACCCAGGTGAAGCTTCCGCCCTCGCTGAGACTGCCGGTTGCTCCTTCCACCAAAACGCTTGTTGAAGCGGCATCCTCCTCATTGTTAGCAATCAGGATAAGCATAGTGTCGTTCGCAAATTCAATGGCTGCGTCCACGCCAGCCAGTGCTGCGCGAGCGACGGCGCCCGAACCACCAGTCAGGCCATGGCCCAGCAGGGTCACACGCGTGCCGATGCGGCCACTTGATGGCGTCACGGTTTGCACAAGGGGACGAGGCAGAAGCGTCAGCGGCAGAGCCGGACGCGCCAGCAAAGCCCCGTTTGGCAAGGTCATGTTGAGCGACACGTTGGAACCGACGCCTCCACGAACAACGAGCACAATCGCTTCGTCCGTGTAGCTTTGAATATCAGCAGGAACCCCTGCTAATGAGGCAGTACTGGGATTGCTTGCGCTACCCGCAAGCAAGTTGGTGCCTTGGAGAGTGACGCGAGTGCCGTACGAGGCGACGCTCGGCTGCACAACAGTGATATCGGGGGCCAGCAACAGCTCGAAGGAATTGCTGGCCGAGTGCACGGTTGCACCGCTCTCTGAGATGAGTGTGACGGTAACATTGCTGGGCGTCGTAATGAGTCCAACAAGGCGCACCACCACGGTGGTTGATGAGGCTGACAGCACCTGTGCCGCAACGTCTCCAAACAATACCTCCCGCAGAGGCAGAGCGCTGGAGCCCAGCAAGCGAGAGCCGGTGAGGGTCACGACAGTGGACGTCGCACCACGAGTAGGTTGCACGCTTGAGATCTCGCCCGGTAATTGGATGTCAACAGCGTCAGAGCGCTCCCAGCTGCCACCCGTGTTGACTGTCACACGCAGAGTCGCACTGTTGACGGCGTCAACTGCCGCTTCCGGCAAAGACAGCAGCATGAATGTGTCGTTTGCAAAAGTTGGCTCAATGGATAGCGCACCAAGCTGCAGGTCTACAACTTCGGTGCCGCCAGCAAGGAGAGCCCGGCCACTAATCGACAGGATTGTGTTCACTTGCACAACGCGTGGCGAGATGCTTGATATCGTGGGTACCACGTATGCCCCGTCCGTGAGGTTGGCGTGCAATTGCGCGCCCGTGTCGCTTTCCATGAATAGGGAAACGCTGGCTGCCTCTTGAGTGCGAGGTCCCGCCACAGCCGTGATAACAGTATCATTGGCCTGTAGCACCGCCGAGGCGTTGACGCCCGCCAATAGCAAGTGGGATACAGTCGAGCCACCGCCCAACAATTGCGTGCCCTGCAGAGTCACGATTGTACCTGTGGCTAAGCGTGCAGGGTGCATGCTGATGATAGCTCCAGGCGGAACAACAGTCGTGGCATTCAAAACGTGGACGCGTGATCCTGACGTGGCTTCGATGGTGATGGCCACGGGGCCTGGCTCCACACCGGCCATGGTGATGGGCGCTCGAGCAACAATGACACTGTCGTTGGCAAGGTTGATGTCTGTCCAGGCCACACCACCAATGTCCAGTGAGAGCAAAGCTCCACCACCCAGGAGCTCTTGGCCTGTGATCGTCAAGCGCGTGCCCGCTCGCACCCGAGCTGGAGTCGCTGCAATAATCTGTCCAGCCTGGCGGTAAGTAAAGGCAGCGCCTCCGAGCGTCACATGTGCTCCGCTGTTGGAGTGTAAAATCACGCGCCCGCTGATTTCGGCAAACGGATCCATCGGCTGACCGGCACGCAGTACAACCTGGGTGTTGTTGTAGGTCAGGATTGCGGCGGGGACGCCTGCCAGGGTGGCCCTGACCACAGCCTCGCCATGTGCAAGCAAATTTTCGCCGTGGACCGTGACGGTGTTGTTGGTAAACCCTCGGTTGGGGACGATGGCCGTTATGACTGCTGGCGTGCCGTAGCTCCAGCCGTTCAGCAGCTCCACAAAGGCACCCGTCGAGGCCTGCACAAAGACATCGCCTTGGATTGCGAGTGCGCCTGCCACGCGGAAAGTCACGTTTGCAGCGGACTGCGCCAGGATTTCTGCTTCCACACCTGCCACCTCGACGCGCACCACTGTATCACCCATGAGCAGATCTGTGCCAAAGAGGCTCACTACGGTGCCATTTGTGCCATTAATGCGACTAAGGCTATTGATGTTGGCTTGCGGTGCGGCCGTAAAAGCTCCCGTAAAAGTACTGATTGCCCCAGTGTCAGCGACGATGGTCACATCTCCACTGCCCGCGACAAGACCTGCTGGAACTTGGAAGGACAGAGCGCTGTCCGAACCCGTGTCAAGCACCGCCACGCGGACATTGCCTTGAAGCCAAAGCTCTGCTACGGCGCTGCCGCCGCCCAACAAACGCTCTCCCACCAGAGTCGTGTTGACGCCATTGTGGAAGCGATCGCTGTGCGCCATACTCGTTAAAGTTGCCGGCTGCAATACGGTAAAGGCATCTGAACGCGTCAAATCCACCAGAGTGTAGCCAGCACGAAGCTGCAGAGTGCAAAGGGCCGGTGGATTAATCGCAGTCGGGGGGGCAGGTGCGGTAAAGATTACAGTTTCGTCGGTGGCCGACTCTAGGATAGCCTCAGCGCCGCACAAGTACACGGCACTCAAATTGCCATCTCGGAGTAAGTGCTCGCCATTGACAGTGACACGGGTGCCATGGCGGCCCGACGCGGGAGTAATAGTAGACATGACGGCGAATGAAAATGCAGACGTGGCTTCCACTACGGCTCCGCTCGAGGCCGAGACCACCACGTTGCCGGTACCAGTGCCCTGATCTAGGATCTCCACTCGCACAAAGGTTGAATTGCTAGACAATACGCGTGTCGCTGCTCCTGCGATCGAGACATCAAGCGCCACACCATCGCTTGGCAAGAAAGCGCCATAGAGGGTGACAATCTGGCCTCGGACGCCGGCCTCGGGCTCCACGCGATCGATGCGACCCTCGGGAAGGATGGTGAGATAAACTTCATCACTGTTCACAAGAGCACCAGTATCGGCTTCCAGCTCAAACGTGGCATTGATGGCTTCGGTGTGGTTCATGCCAACGGGCATGGTGAATCGCACCTGATTGCACGAGGCACCGGCCAAAGGCTCAAACTCTTGCCCTGCCAGACGTACTTGGGATACGCGGGTGCCGTGCCCACAGAGATCGAGACCACTGACAGTGACGATGGCTCCCGGGCTAACCACCTGGCTGTCGGTTCCAACGACAACGCCGGCACGGCGATAGATCCAACTGGTACGAACCACAGCGCCCGATGTGCTCTGCAATACCACCTCCACCTCCGTATCCACGGAGACGGCGCGCTTTGGCGCACGGGCAACAACAAAGCTGTCATTGGCCAACAGCAGCTCACCCATGATTCCACCAAAAGTCACTGCTTCCACGTCCGCGCCGTAGGCACGCAGGTTTGTGCCAGTGAGAGTCACCTTGGTGCCGTGTTGGCCCAAACCTGGTTGAACACTTGTCACGTTGGGCAGAATGGCAAGTGTGAAGTTGTCATTGAAGACAGCGCGCGAGCCATCTGCAGCACGCAGCACCACCGAACCGACCAGCTCCGGCCCTTCATGGCGGGGAAGCTGGACACGAACGACGGTGTCATTAAAGGTCAGCACGCCGGCGGTCAAGCCAGCAAGCTCCACGGTGGGCGAGCCGGACGCGTTTGCCAAGAGACCTGTACCAAACAGAGACACAATGGTCCCCTCGGTACCTTGCAGTGGCTGCACCTGTGTAATCGCGCTCGGGGTGCGATACTTGAAACCGGCCACAAAGACCGCCGTGGCACCCGTATCACTGATGACCTCGACATTGCCAGCTGGCCTGCTGACGTTGCCGTCCGTTCGAGCTTGGACCTCCACGATCAGAAACGTAGCATTGACGTCCGAAGAGACGAGTTGAGCCGGCATACCATCTAGCACAACCGCTGCCACACGATGGCCGGCACCCAGAAGACGAGAGCCAGATACAGTGACAAGAGTCCCCGCCTGGCCCGACGCTGGTACCACACGGTGAATCTGGCTGGCTGGTGTAAAGTTGAAGGCGTCTGTGAGCGACACGAGCTCACCGCTGTCCGCTTCAAGTTCGAGCATTGCGCTGCCAGCGGGGTGCGAGAGGGCAGAAAACACGATGGACGTTGCATTGGCAAAGGTGGGAGTGACGTTTGTCTGCCCAAGCGATATGCGTGCAAACCTTGTTCCTGCGATGCCCAGCATGCTGATTCCCTGCACAGCGATGCGGGTGCCAACTTGCCCCGATGATGGCACCAGTGGGGCTATGCTAGGCGTCGAACCCCAGCTGAAAGCCTCGGCGACATCATACCAAGCACCCGTGGGCGCCGAGAGACGGAGCGTGACGTTTTCTTGCACGTCCTGCACAGGGACCCGGAACACGATTGTCGTCTGCGATGCCGACTCTGGCACGGCCACATGACCGCCCACGTTGACATATGACAGGTCGGCTGCACCGGCTAGCAGATGTGTGCCTGTCAATGTCACACGGCAGCCACGATTGCATCGACGCGGGGCCACGTTGGACACGGTGGGGTGATCGACAAAGGACCATGCGCCAGCAAGCTCGTAAAAGGCGCCGGACGTGAGTTCAACGCGGAGCGAAGCATTGTTCATGGCCAAAGCGCGATAGGGAGCAAGCACTACCACGCGCGTGTCTGACGTTTCTGTAATATTGCTGACTTCAAGGCCTCCCAATAACACGCGCTCAATGTCGTCAGCTCCCAGCAGCAAGCTTTGACCCATCAGCGTGACTCGAGTGCCTTGGTTACCACTCGTTGGGGCGACTGCAATCGTGGGTCGGCTCAGATAAGAAAAGACACCGCTGGCTTGAATAGCGGATCCCGTCAAACTGGACAAGCTGATTGTGGCATCACCAATCATGTCTGCGGCATAGCCTAGCCGGACCACCACCAGATGTGCACTCTCACTCATGATGCTGGCCGTTACGTTGCCAATGACAACTTGACTCAGATTGGCACCACCCTGCAGGCTGCTGCCTGTGATAGTTACGTATGTACCCTCCTGGCCACTGGCGGGCGTGACAGTATCGATGCGACTTGGTGGCATGTAGGTAAAATTGGTCAAGGACACAATCGTGCCAGACGTATTGGCTTTGAGTACAATGGGGCCAGTCGTTGCAATCCCAGCGTCTCCCAGTACCAGGACGACCATGGTGTCATTGCTAAAGAGCACATGAGCAGCCGTGCCAGCGACCGATGCCGATAAGGTCGCACCTTCAGGTGCCGCAGCTCGTAGACCCGTACCGACCACGGTCACCACGGTGCCTTCCACGCCGCGCACCGGCAAAAACGTGGATACGGCACCATCACCGAGCGCAGTCAGACTGGCAATGCTGTCCATGCGAGCGCCTGTGTCGGCCACAAGCGTCACGGCGATGGTGGCTGCTGTGACGCCAGCTGGAAATGCGAATATCACCGCGTCATTGGTAGCGGCAAGAGATTCCACCGTCCATGTGCTTCCACCGTTCAATAGAACCTCCCTGATCGTGTTTCCTCCACCCAGCAAGTTACTGCCTTGCAAGGTGACTCGTGTACCCTGCTGTGCCCGAGCGGGGCTCACGGTGGTCACCAGGGGCGTTGTCAAGACTGTCAGGTTGGTTTCGGACCACGTTTCGGCGCCGGTCGAGCCCAATAGCTGGATAGGAGCACTGGCTGGCATGGTATTGACCAACTCCACCACAAGATGGGATGCGTTGGCTGTCAGCACAATCGCGCCTACCCCAGCCACCAAAACGGCCTGAACGCTACCCCCTTGGAACAAGCCTACGCCGGCCAGTGTCACCCGTGTGCCATACATCCCACTCGCTGGACTCACGCTCAGAATGCGTGTTTCCGCGGCAAAGGTGATGGGTTGCATCGGGCTGTAAAATGCACCAGAATCGACGGTGTATGACACAAAGCCAGCGCCAGTGCCATTGGGAGCTCGCAGCACTACATGCGAGGAACTCGACGAGACAACTTCAGCCGACTGATTCGCCAAAGTGGCCGAGATGATCTCTTGCGCACCGAGCAGCAGGCGTGTACCAACAAGTGTGACCAACGTGCCTCGCTGCACAGTTGCAGGGTGAACGCTCGTCACATTGGGCAGAGGTACGTACGAAAAGGCACCTGACTGGCGAGCCTCGGCGCCAATTGCTAAGGAGAGGACAACATCGCCGGTGATTGCAACAGACAAGGCACCAGCGCGTACCACAAGCGACAGATCACTTGCGTGCAGCACTTCGGCTGGCACACCAGCAAGAGTAACAGATGCAATTGTAGCAGAATCGCCGGTTCCCGCCAGAAGCTGAGCACCACGAATGGTGACAAGAGTGCCCTGCTGACCTGACGCAGGCGTGACGGCATCGATATCTACGGGTGCAATAAACGAGAATGCCGCCTCAAACACAGTCGTCGCGCCAGACTGCGCGACCAAAGCCACGTCAACGGTCGAGGGCGAGGTTGGTCCATCAAACAGGCGCACAAGGACAGCGGAGTCATTGTAGAAGACGATGCGCGTTTGATAATCACCGAACTGAACGCTCGATAAAACAGCGGCGCCTTGCAAAAACCCTTCACCACGAAGCGTGATCAACATGCCCTGTTGACCAACCGCTGGCTCCACAGAACTCAATGTTGCGTTGCCAACAAAAGAAAAGTTGCTTGTGGAAAAGATGGTAGCGCCTGACATCGCCTCAATGAGCACCTGGCCTGACCCATAGCCGCTCGGGACGGCCACGCGCACCAGGTTGTCGCTCTCATACAATATGTCCGCTTTTTGACCCGCCAAGAGAACGCGGTGCAGGGCGGATGCGTATCCGAGCAGATTGGTACCCACAATGTAAACCGTCGCACCAGGCCCAGCAACGAGCGGACTAATTTGACTAATTGCACCGGCGGTGCGTAATTCAAAGGTGACGGTAGACTCAGCAAAAGAGCCATCGGAAGCTTGAAGAAGGGCTACATCACTGGACACCGGCTCATCTGGAGTGCGAAGCATAACAGTGGACGCGTTGGCAAAAATGACATTAGCAGGGCGGTTCGCCAGCCAGGCCGCTCCGAACGTCTCGGAAAAGCCGAGGAGGCGCTTGCCCGTCAAGGTGACAATTGTGCCTTTCTGCCCAACTGCAGGCGCAATGTCCTCAATGGCGCCGGGAGCAACCGACATGGTTACATTGCTGAACACGTGATATGCTCCCGATAAGGCTCTCAGCTCCACGTCGACCATGCCCGCCACCATATTCTTGGGAGCTCGAAAGTCGAGACTTTCATTGCTTCCAGCAAGGTTAAGGACGGGTTGACCCCCCAGGAACACCTCAGCAAGCTGACTGCCGAGATGAAGGTCAGAGCCGACGAGGGACATGAATGTCCCCCACGTGGCTTGGGTCACATTGCTACCAGAAAAGACTGGAACGGAGGTGCCGGTCCAATTCAATTGCGGGGCTGAAGATGCGTATGCACCCGACTTGAGCACAACTCGAATTGGACCCGCCCCGGGCGCATAACCCGCGCTGATGATTCGTGCGTTCAGATGGGTCGCATTGACGGATAAGACTTCTGCAGCGGCGTTCGCCAAGTACAGTTCCTGAACGTCCGTTTGCAAAAAGTAAAACTTCCCAGATATGAGCACTCTTGTGCCCACATAGCCCAAGATCGGTTCCACTGCGGAAAGCTGAATTGGTGTCAGGACGGTGAAATTGAACACGCTGCTCACGTACGCGCCGTTGTCGGCTTCAAGCCGGATTGGACCGGACACCGCGGAGACAAATGGCACAAGCACTACAGCAAAGCCCTCATGCACACCATCAATGATCTCGGCTTCCTCACCCGCAATTGAGGCGTGCACCAGTGAAGCGCCGCCGGCAAGCAGATTATTGGTAGAGATGTTGACAACGGTGCCACCCGAGCCCGAGGACGGAAAAGCGGCGGTGATGGAGCCCGGGGGGTAGGGAGTCCAGAGCGGAGCGGCAGAGGTGGTGGCACCACCATTGTCAGCCTCGAGACGAACGGCCACGGGCGTGCCCACGGGCCCACCCACGGCTGGGCCCACCTCCAAAACAACAACGCTGTCATTGTTGAAGCGCACCGACACTGCATCACTTCCCAGCCAAGCGTTTGCCACGCTCGTGCCGGCCATCAGCAGATTCTGGCCAAACACCGTGACTCGCGTGCCACGACGTCCCGTGGCCGGTTCCAAACGCTCGACTTCGGCCGGCGCTGCATACGCTACAACATCTGCCAGCAGGGCAACGGCACCCGTATCGGCAACGATTTCAACATCACCAGCCGCCAAGGCCGTTGCAGAGGCGCCAGCATGCACCACAATCTCGCTGTCGCCGCCGCTTTCAATTGTCGCGACAGCAACGCCTGCCAGGTGAACACTGGCAATCGAGGCACCACCGCCCAGCAAACGCTGGCCGCTGATTGTAACTAACACACCGGCATGGACCGTGGCCGGTGCCACGGCGGTCACGTTGCTGGCAGGCAGATACTCAAAGCCGGTCGTCAGGGTTACAATGCCCCCTGAGGCGGCCACCAGTTCCACCGTTCCGTTGCCAGTCACAACGCCGGGCCCGGCCACAACCACCACCGTTTCATTGCTCTGGCTCTCAATCGTGCCCGATACGCCACCCAGAGTCACGCTGCTCAAGCTGGTACCGTGTGCCAGGAGGTTGGTGCCACGGATGGTCACCCGCGTACCCTCTTGCCCGGAACGCGGCGTCACTGTCGCAACTTGGCCTTGTTCTCGGTACGTAAAGCCGCCAGCCAGGGTAATCTCAGCGCCATCAGCACCCGTCAGCACAACGTCGCCCTGGCCCAAGGCCGCATCGCCGTTCCCAGCCACAACCACCACAGACGTGTCGCTTTCCGATTCAAGCGTTCCAGCCACGCCGTGGAGCGCCACGCTGACAACGGCGCCGGTGCTACCGCCGCGCAGGCCAGTGCCTTGCAGCGTCACGAGCGTGCCCAGCTGGCCAAAGCCCGGGGTTACGCTGTCGATCACGCCTGGCTGGACATACTTCCATTCACCGTCTGGCAGGGTGTTTTGGGCTTGGCCGGTGGTCATGTCCACCACGGCGCCCGTGTCGCTGGTTAAAACAATGTCACCACCCTGCGCCGACGCGCTGGCATTCACAATGGCTACCACGCGCGTGTTGCTTGCCTCGAGGATGCTCAGTACAGGGACCCCGACCACGGTCATGCCAGCCAGAGTCACCCCATTGCCAAGGAGCCGGCTACCCGTGACCGTGATGCGCGTCTTGTACATGCCCTGAGCTGGGACCACGTTGTCAATCGCGCCGCGCGCCAAGTACTCAAACCCCGGGTTGAGGGTGAGCGTTTGGCCCGAGTCGCTGGTCAAAACAATGGCCACATCACCGGCAATCGCATTGGGTGCACGCACAATCACCTGACTAGCATTTGATTGCTCCACAATGCTGGCGGCGGCTGCGCCAAAGCGTACGGCCGTGATGGTGCTTCCGCCTGCCGCCAGTGCGACACCCGTAATGGTGACACGAGTGCCCTCCTGACCCTGTGCGGGGCTCACATTGGTGATGCGGGCATAGGTCCACGCCTCAACGCCGCGAACTGTGGTGCCCGTATTGGAGCGAATGACCACGTCGGCCACGCCCAAGGGCGCAGCGGCGCCGCTACCGACAAAGGCCGTGATGAGGCTATCATTGGCAAAGACAACCGACACGACTGGTTGACCGGCCAGCGTTAGGCTAGTAACTGAGCTACCACCGCCCAGCATGCGCTCGCCCCGAATCGTCACGAGATCTCCTTGGGTGCCGGCGCTTGGCGTGACGCTTGTGACGCTGCCATCCGCAATGTACGTAAAGTTGGTGTCAGAGCGGTCCGACTGCAGCAGGGCGCCCGTGTTGGCGCGGACAACCACGGGGCCCGTTTTCAAAGCCCCGTAGTCTTGAACCGTCACAACAATCTGACTGCATGTGGTTGAGGGATTGACCACGGCCGCAAAGCCAGCAAGCGTGACATCGCTGATGGCACTGCCACCACCACACAGGTTGAGGCCCCGGATCGTCACCAGGGTGCCCTCGCGACCCGAGTTTGGGGTAACCGAGTCCACTTCACCGGGCGTCAGGTAGCGGAATCCATCGGTAAGTGATACCGCACCGCCCGTGGTTGCCTTCAGTTCGACAGTGGCAAAGGTGGCGTCTTGTGGGCCCTGTGGCACTGTGACGGTGACGACCTCGTCGCTGGCATTGAGCACTGTGGCCAAGCGGCCACCAAAGGACACCGAGGACAGGGCCACATCCGCGGCCAGCAGGTTGCTGCCCGCAATTGTCACAATCGTGCCCCACCGCCCACTGCTCGGCGTCAGGCTGCTGATGACACCCTTGGTCTGCAAGGTGAATCGTTGTTCAGCCTCCAAGTAGGCGCCTGCCCCATTGCTAATGCGTATGGGGCCTTCGAGGTCAACCGTGTTGTTGTGATTGGGAAGCGTGACCACGATTCTCTCATTCGTAAACGACAGAATCAAGGCTTCGTGTCCGGCGAGCGATACGGAGGTTACCTCGCTGCCATACAAGAGCAAGTTCGTGCCCTGAATAACAACCTGCGTATATATTTGACCGCGAGTCGGGGTCACATCAGCGACGGTCGCGTCCGCTTTATATTCAAAAACGTTTGTTTGAGAGATCACAGCGCCAGTGTTGGCCACCAAAGACACATTGAGCGTGCTTGTGTGGTTGAAAGCCGGGACTTGAAGCACAACAGATGAGGCATTCGCTTGCATTACGACGGCTGGCACCGCATTGAGGGTGGCGGACGCCAGTGACGTGCCGCCGCCCAACAGGCCTTGACCGTGCAGCGTCAAACGAGTTCCTTGTGTCTGTTGAAGGGGACGCACACAGTAGGATCATGACGGGAGTGAGCCAGCACCGAAGAAGCATCAAAAGAAGGGCAGAGGCTCAAGTGCGCGGTCGCATCGTGGGTGCCGGCCACATGATGCTGCAAAACTGTATGTCCCTAGCAAAGGCAAGACTCACCCCACTGGACGGCGTGGCACTCTCCACGCGGCCGGACGGGTAATATTGCCTACGGTGGTGGCATCAGGAAGACAGCGGGAATAAGAGACCATGAAAGAGACGTTTGATGTGTATGTCTTGGGTGGAGCTTCATGGCCGTTACAATGTGCAAGATTTAAAACCCTGGAGGGATTCAGCAGGTAGCAAAGAGGGCGTACCAGATGTTTGACATGACGGCTTGGGCACCTGAGTCGGCCACGAGCACAACATCACCTTGCATATCACCGGCCCCGTCGCCAGCAATTACAACCACCTCACTATCAGTGTCGGTAACGATGGTGGCAGGCACTCCAGCTAAAAGCACACTCTCAACTGCGGCGCCATATTTCTCGCCGTGCAGTCGCTCGCCGGCAATTGTGACTCGAGTGCCGACCTACACGCCACGTCGAGCCGAACAGATTTGAGTTTTGCGATGAAGGTATCAGAACTTGGATACGTCAGCCTAGACATTTCGCGACAAACCTGGCCTCTTGCAGGACTCGAAGCATCGAGGCAATCTTGGGCTTGGGTGGGTGCGCTGGTCAGAAAAAATATAACAAGTGCGGCGCACCATGCCGCCGGCCCTATAGAGTTGGCATAGCACAGGGGCGTCAGCACAAGAAAGAACACAAGACAGGTTTGACCTACATGGGTTCGTGCCAAAAGCCAAAGCTTACTCGAAGAATACATTGCCATCCTGCTGCGTGCCGGAAGGAAGGACTCGGTCGACCGCAGCCGATCGAGGTCAAAAAAGCAAAAAAAGCAAGTCAAGCCCTCTTTGAGTGCTCGCGCTCACGTAGCAGCTCGTCAGACAAGATGACAGCCCGCCGATCAGCAGGATACCCCGCCCCGTCACAAGGATGGCGAAGAGAGGGGCCCACAATGGGCCAGTCTTGTTCTTTGATGCGATTATCTGCTATACTTTGTGACTGAAGGTGCAATGGCAGCCCGAAGCCGGTCACGCCGGGAAAAAATACTCAAGT